TTGTGCTTTTCTTGGTTTTGCTTCAAATAGTACAGCCTGTAGATTTTTTAATCTTGAAGATAATATTGTGACAGAACCAAGTGATATTATTTTTCATGAAAATAAGTTTCCTTTTGATTCTAAAAATAGTGGGGGTCAAAGGATTGAACAAAATATTTTGTCACTACATGATTCTTCTACTTCAAATTTGTAAAATAAAGAAGTTAATGATTTTGAGTTAAGAAGAAGTGAAATAGCTAGAGTAGAAAAAAATTTTAAACCTGTTTTTTATGTGTTTAATGTTGAAGATGATCCTCTAACTTTGAAAGAAGTTTTATCTTCACATGATTCTATTTTTTGGAAAGAGGTAGTAAATGATGCAATGGAATCACTAATTTCTAATAAAACTTGGAAACAAGTTGATTTACCACCGGGTGTAATACTATTCATTGCAAATGAGTCTTGATAAAAAAATTTGAAACTGGATGGATATATTGATAAATACAAGTTTAGACTAGCTGCAAAAGGTTTTAAACTACTAGAAGGCCTTGAATTTTTTGATACTTTTTCTCCGGTAACAAGAATTACATTCATAAGACTTTTAATTGCTATGTCTGCAATTTTTTATTTGCAAATTCATCAAATGGATGTAAAAACTGATTTTCTAAATGGAGACCTAAATGAAGAAATTTATGTGGATAAAGGCAAGTGTTTTGTTGAAGTATGCCAAGAAAGCAAAGTATGTAAACTTACTAAATTCATGTATGGCTTGAAACAGGCATCAAAGCAATGCCATGAAATGTTTGATTCCTGCATGATTGAAAATGGCTTTAAAACAAATTAGTGCGATAAGTGCATATGTCATAAGTCTTGGAATAATTCACATGTGATTATTTATCTATATATTGATTATTCGTTGATCTTTGTCTCTAACATGAGTGTTATCGATGAAGCTAAGAATATTCTTAGAAGCCATTTTGATATGAAAGATATTGGTGAGGAAAATTTTATTCTTGGATTAAAAGTAACAAGAACATATGAGGGAATTTTCTTTGACCAGTCACATTGTGTTGAGAAAATCTTAAAAAAATATAACTTTCATGATTACAAGCATGTTGTTACTCCTTTTGATTCGAGTGTTCACTTATTTCATGTTGAAAGTGAAATGATGTAATAAAGGAATATGCTAGTACAATTGGAAGTTTGAGATATGTGACTGATTACACTAGGCCTGATATTTCATATGCAAAAGGAGTACTTGGCAGGTTTACAAGCAAGCCGAGTAATGAACATTGGCATGTTGTAACAAGAGTTATGAGATATTTAATTGGAACGAATAATTGTGGTTTGCATTGACATTTTGTAACAAGAGTTATGAGATATTTAATTGGAACGAAAAATTGTGATTTGTTCTTTAAAAAATATCATGTTGTACTTGAAGGCTTTTGTGATGCAGATTGGAACACTTTATTAGGTGAAACTTGTTCTACCACTGATTATGTCTTTACTTTAGGTTGTGGTGTTATTTGTTGGAGATCAAGAAAGTAAACTATAATTGTTAACTCTACCATGGAGGCTGAACTAATTGTTTTTGCTTTAGCTAGTGAGGAAGCGAATCGGTTAAGAGATTTATTGGTTCAAATTTCTTATTTTGAAAAATCAATTCCTCCTATTTTAATTCATAATGATAGCACAGCTGCAATTGGTAGAGTTCAAAACTGTTATTACAACGGTAAATTCAGATCTATAAGGAGGAAACATAGTAATGTAAGATCGTATTTGACAAATGGTACCATTAATATAGATTATGTCAAATCTTGTGATAATCTTGCAGATCCTCTTACTAAGGCCTTAATGAGAGAAAAGGTCTGGAGCACATCGAGGGGGATGGTATTGAAGCCTATAAATACTTGAGTCAACCTAGGGACTGGAGATTCTATAACCAGGTTCAAAGGAAAAACTAATCATATTATGACTTCTTGTGAAAAAATGCACTATTTTCTTATTCCCTCTCTGTGATGTGAATGCATTGTTTCCTGTAGTTTGTGAAGGTTGAGTTAATACAACTCTTAATGAATATATGTAGCCAGTATGGGTGGAGTGTTAAGCTTACAGGAGCACTCTTGACGGATTTCACCTATGTAATATGTGGAAGTAGGGTCGCTTCCTATGAGAATTGGCTTATTCTCAAATGCACTCATAAAAGAGGGATAGCACATGACTATAACGTGCTGGCTTTAAAGATCATGTAAACACCTTGATAATTACGTGTGAGTAGTGATATTTTATTTCCTTTAAGCAGTCATAGTTCAAGTATGAGACTACTACGACTCTGGAGTAAAAGTTTTGTTTCACTTAGTGGGGGTTCAATACAGAGCACACCTTCATTATGCATGATTGTCTTCCTTCCAATGATATAATCTCTTATCTAATATTAAAATGAGTGAGAAATTGTTAGTGTGATATTTTAATATGTTAAGAATATAGACGTTGGTTTATGGCTGTTGGTGCACTTATCATATATATTACATAACGTAGTATTATTGGCATTTGATTGTTATCATTAAAAATTATTATTGCTGCATTTCTTAGCAGCATGACTCCAAATGGAGCTAAGTGCATATGCTATCCATTGGTGCAAGTTCCATCTGTGTGATGCTTCAAACTTTCAAATCTGTGGATTTGGTTAAGGTGGATCAAGTCACCATTGCTTTTTGTCAAGCTTAATAAGTTTCAGTTGTTAGAGGTTGTTAATCTTTTACCCTATTACTTTCTTTTTATTCCTCCATTACACCTTATAATTTATATAACTCTTAAGATCATTATCTTCACTATTTATTACACTATTTATCTTTTTTTTCATTGCAAGGGAGACTTATTCTAGTATAAATAGTGGTTGTCTTCATTTAGTTTGAGATACACACAATATACAAGAGAAAATATAGAGTAAAAGAGTTGGTCAAAAAGAGAGTTCTTATTAGTTGAAGGGAGGTGCTCTTTTTTTGTGGAGCTTTTACTCAACTTTTGTCCAGAGTTGTTGAGTTTTACTGCGTGAAGGTTGTTGTATCCTAGAGGGGACAAGTCAAAGAGGACTACTGCTGGACCGGTGAAAATATTTGCAGCGGGCTTGAATATCCTTAAAGGGATGGAGATATTCACGCCTCAGCCTAAAAAGATTTATTTCTTCATTTTATTTCCAATTGTTTCTTACAATTTTATTATCTTGTACGTTTTCACTAACACAAGATAGGAAACTTATGCTTAAATTGACTAACTACTCTTTGAAGAGCATGATAAAAAAAAATAGAAATATTTCACTAAAAAGCATGAGTGGTCGAGCGATAGAATTGATCCAACTTAAAAAAAAAAAAAAAAAAAAACTACTTGGGTTCAATTCTAAGTAATTATTACACACTTTTTAATGTTTTTAAAAACAAACTCTATTAATTGATTTTAATTTTTCACTATAGTTTTTTAGATGAAAAAAGGTGTTGATGGCTTATTTTCAAGAGGCTAAATGGTACTATAATAAGAAGAAAATTCCAAGAATGGAGCAATATATGAAGAATGAAATTCCATCTTGTTCCTATCTATTGCTAGCAACTACTTCTTGGTTGGCAATGGGAAATATAACAACTAAAGATTCATTTGACTGGATAGCAGTCCAACACTTATTACTTTGTACCATTACAAGATTACTCAATGATCTTTCATCACATGAGGTATAATATATCCTCCTCCCGTTTCAATTCATGTGATATTGTTTAACTTGACGTAAAAGCTTTTTGAAATACACTTAATAACTTGTGGTAAAAAAAAGACATACATATTTGTCTGGCTATAAATCATCTTATTAATGATATATACAATTATTTATTTCTGACAATTTTACTTTTAATTTCATTCTCCTTGCAAAAAAAAAAAACTCCTCTCATCTTTATTCGAAATTTCATTGAAAAAACAATGTCTTTTTTTATTTTTACAACTAATTCAATTTTTTAAATGATATATTTAAATCCACAAGATTAAAGAATATTTTAATATATTCTATATATCTTTAATTTAAGACCATATGATTATATTTATTTACTTTAATTGAACTCAACATTTATTTTATTAATTTTGTTTGTTTTATTTATGTTAGGAAGAACAAAAAAAGAAGATGCTACTTCAAGCATGGAATGTTACATTAATAAATATGGTGTTACGAAGGAAGAAGCACACATAAAATAAGAAATAAAATAGAAAATTATTGGAATTAAGAAATAAAATAGAAAATTATTGGAAGAATTTGAATGAAGAATACCTAAAAGTGGATGTGTTTATTATACCAAGAGTTTAGTCACCATGTGTTACTAATAAATGAATAAATATTAGTCACCATGTGTTACTAATAAATGAATAAATATTTCAACGTTAAATTTTGTATCAATAGACTATTGTCATTTCCAATAGTCTATCGACTTCATCCAACATTTTATGAACCTTGTTCCTTTGCGAAAGTGTTCAATCACTAACAAAAAATTCAGAGGTAGAGTAATGATTAAGAGTTTGAGTGGTTCGGATTTAGAAGGTTTAAACAACAATACTAACTTTTCACAGTCATTTCTTTATCATTGAATCGGGTTGACTGGGTACACTAGAAGTTTTCCTTCATCCTTTGGGAAGTTATAATATATCACTACTAGAAATAAGCTATTTTTTTACTACATTATTGCCGACTACAAATCTAGAGTCGATATTCTAAATATCTTTTCGACTACTGTAATTGGTAAATTAGGATTTTTATCTTTTATTTTTTATTTTTTTGACTATGATTTCAACTACTCAAATCATAATGTTTTGCGAAATAAAGTCAATAAAATAATTGACTGTTATCGATTGCGGTAGTCGAAAAATTATTAAAATAAGTTCAAAAATACTATCAAATGGACGATCATTGTAGTCGGCCTTTTTATAGTGATTTTTATTCATTTAAAGTTATTTTATTTTTTGATTTAGCATAATTCTTATAATTTAATTTTTTTATCTAGCAAATAAAAATATTTAATCTCTGTTTTATTTGTCTAGCAAATAAGAATAGTATAGGGTATCTTTGAAAGAAAAAGAAAACTCACTTTCTGAGAGCTCACAGGGAGGTTAGCGTTTCATCAGAGCTCACCAGGGAGGTTGCTCGTTTGTTTCTCTCAAAGAGATTTGGAAAAGGTATGTAAACTTTCTCCTTTTGCATTTTGATTTGGCAAAGGTTCGAATTTCAATTCCTTTGAAGTAGGGTGGAAGTTCATTTCCTTTTGACTGGGTAGGGTTTGAATTTCGATTCCATTGAAATATATTGTGAATGTTCTCCTTTCCTTTGAGTGGGTAGGGTTTTAATTTCAATTTCATTGAAGTACTGTGGAAGTTTTCCTTTCCTTTTGAGTGTGTAGGTTTTCCTTTGATATTATCATGAGAAAGAGCTTAAATTTTTGTTCTAAAAATTTAAATTGATTCCAATTCGCTGATTCTAAATGAACCATAAAAGTTGTACTCTTCTTCTGCATAATAGTTGGATTGTGATTATATTGATGTGGGTATTAGTTTAGGAAGAAAGAAAGGTGTGAGACTAATAAAAAATAAGGCGCGATGAAATTTGTCATGTTCTGATGATCAGAAATCTTTATAAATAATTTAAGAAAATATTATCTGGTCTTATGAAAATGGGGAGAGATCAGTAAGAACAGATTCATGTCGAAGAAAATATTCTTAAAAGATAAGAAATGCAAGAACAAGAAATATAAAAGGGATCTTTGAATTACATCAGTAAGAAAGTTACCACTAATAATTATGAAAAAACAAAGCATTATGACAGCAAAAGAACAACCAATATTGAGTTTCATTATACAAAGCAACTTATATTACAATTTTTATCGAGCTGGAGAATTCTAAATTCATCCTACGTACTTTTTGGTAAAAAATTAACTCAGAAAAGCTTTAATTTTGAGAAGTAGGACATAATACACCTAGTGGACTCATTTTAGGATGCTTGTAGTCATGTGACTTGCACATGAGACTGGGTCCGTTATAACAGAAGTTTCACATAAGGATGAAACTTGCTAAGTTTTGAATACATTAAGAATGATTTTTGTTCAATATGATAGTTGAAGGATGTACATTAAGTTTTGAGTATAGATAAAGGATGTTTTTTTTTTGTCAAAAACTCTAAATTCCAAGCTATTATATGTTTGCTTATAGATGGTGAGTGGTTAAGGTTTAGACAAATGCACTTTGATAGTTTTATAAATAAGGCATTCAAGAAGATGGGCCAAAGTTTGCTCATTACCTAGTTTCTTTGTCACAAACTTGAAATTGGTGTAGACTAGAAAGAATATAATCACTTTTGATTTATATATTTTTACAGCTTTAAAAACTGTAGATGAATTTCTATAACCTATTTTTGATTCAAGGGCAAGTCATTAATTCGGTGGTTAGTATATTTTGGAAAGTGGTTAAAAGACTCTAAACACTAGTTTAGTCTTGTATCTAGTGCATGCAAGATTTTAATGTTTAAGTACAATTATTGGATCTGTTTGCATTTGTATTTGTATGTTAACCCCTAGGTCAGAAGTTTGTGCAATTTAAGATGATGAAATCATGTAATAGCTTGACCATTTTAAGTTAGCTTCAACCTTCATGTGAGAACAGGTTATCAGTTTGAACTTCCACTTGCATCCAAGATAGATTGCTCTTCTAAAATGTGTGACTTTATTTTTCTTTGTTGTCTGCTCTGCTGAGTTTTAAGTGTGTGATATGTGTAATCCTTTTATGTATTTTGTGGCAAATGGTCCCATGAATATTAGAGCCAAGATTCTCATATTGTTAAGAGGATTTATGCTTCTATTTCCTCACTGAATTACTTGCTCTATCATCTACATGGCATGTTCTGCTTTGTAATTGTTATGACTTACAGTGTTTGTTTCATCAACAAATCTTACCATGTATCTGCTATATCAAAATCCCCTTATTTCCCCTTCCCTTTCCATAAGACTGCAGAACATGAGTTTATCTTTGATGATTTAAGGAAAAACAACATGCAGAACAAGTGTTATTGATCCATAGAAAATATCAAAGAAATGTTCCATGTGGAGGTGCTAGACTATGAAATCATATATAAACAATTTGTGTAATATTAATGAATGATGTAAAGGACATCTCTCCTTTATGTTTTGTGTCCTCATTCTTATTGCACGGACTAAATTAGATGATCGAAATAGCAAGTGACATAAAGATGAGGTTTATCATGCTCCACATTTCTATCTCTGGTACAATGTTTTTAAAAATGAAAAACGCAAAATACGACAAGGTTCCACATAGAAGATCCAACTGGATGTCCTTTGTGTCTTTGCGACTGTTAGCATTTTATATTGCCGTATCAGACACTGGACAATGTATCAACTTTTTAGTTCCACTTTCTTTCATTAATTAAAGCTAGTAACACCTCAATAGATGGATTATTGAGGTGTTACTAGCTTTTATTAATGAAATTTCTGATGGATTATTCATCTCCAAATGAAATTTCTGATGAATGCAATATAGTGACAAGTATTCTTTGTGGAAATACTGCACTCTCTAAATACCTAGCAATATAGTGGCATATATTGTGTTTTTATTGGTAACAATATAATGGTAAACATTCTTATTTTCTATAATACTTTTCCAGCTTGCTTTTACATGGTATCTCTCTATAGAACAAAAACGATACCTACTCTCTCTAGAAGAAATGTTGATCTAAGCAAGAACAAAAACATATTTCAGTCAAGTTTTTTGATTTACTAATTTCTTAAGTCAGGTTATATAGAGATAGACATAGGAATGAAATAAATAGACTGAAATATTAAAAGTTCTTGCAGATCTGACACTGTCTATCAAACTAAATCAGTAGCATAATTTTTCTTTGGGTGAGTAATAATTTATTTTGGAGAAACGGCATAAGCTTCCCAGGTAAACTTTCTTTTGCTCTATAAGCATAAGCTTATACTGATTCTTGTCTACATTTGACTTGCAAAATTTATTCATTAGTTAGTGTTTAGACTTCACTTCCAAGTGGAAACATTGTGCATACTGGAGTTGTGTGATACGGCAGATGATGCTTGGGGCAGATGGAAAGGATTTCCCTACAATATCAGAGAACAAATATGCAATAAATTTAAGGTAAAAAATGTATTTTTATGTCAATTATCAAATATTGAATTTTGAATCTAATGACATTTTTCTATGGTGTAGACGAAATGTGTATGGCAGTCATATTATGAGAAGAAAATAAATTCTATTTTTGAGAAGAATGCTCGTATACAAGTAACTGAAATGTTGTTTATAGCTTGAAAAATAATGAAAAGCCCAGTTGACTACGAGCAGACATATGGGTTAAATTTTTGGAGACATGGAACACTACTGAATTTAAGGAGAAGTGTGAGCGAGCAGAGGTAGCTTGGACATCCGTAAAGGGTGGCTGCTTACACACCGGAGGTTCTATGAGTTTTGCAGCCCACAAAACGAAAAATGGTAATTTCTTAATTGAATCTCCTTAATTTTAACTAAATGTGATTGAACATCTTATAACTTTTATTGCAAACAAAGTTAAAAGGTGCAGAAGTGTCTAATCCTGAGGTATTTGAGGAGACGCATAAGAAAAAAATAAGAATGGTACAAGGGGAGAATGGAGGAGCCACGTGCAGAGGAGACATTTATAAGTTATAACATTTCAATGTTATTTCATTTAACATAATCTTACAATCTTAAATCATAATGGAAATAAATCAGAAAAGAAAAACTGCAATTCGCCTCTTGTATGGAAACTTGAGATGGGGTGAGGAGCATGAACAACTGATCTGTTACTATTCGAATAACATTTGATAATGAATTAGATAAAGTGCAAAATTAAATATTTTGTGTTTTTTCCAGCCTCGTGATCATTATTTTCTTTAGGATTTAGTGTTGTCATTAAGATAACATTACAGAAATTATCTGCTGAAAGTAGTTGTTAAGTTAGTTGTTGCAACTTAAGTTTGTGATATACCTAATTAATTTGTTGCAATGAGAAGTTCTGTTGTACACTTTAGGCATATTGTTCTTTTATCTAATTTGTATACTACTGCTGGGAGATGGAATGACACTGCTCATGTTAGTTTTAAGCAGAAGGAAACCAGAAAGCATGAGAGAAGACTATTGAGAAACATACCTTTGAAGAGATATTAGTAAAGCTCACATGTCATTCTTGTCTACATTTGACTTGCAAATTTGATTTATATATAGACATTTATTTCAGGTTCAATTTCATAGAGGCTTGGATGAATGGCGTCAGACACATCCTACTCAGAGGTTGATTCCTCATCATCTAGTGCTATTACATCTATATGGATAAATGTGGCAGGAGGTGTGAAGAAAGGTAGAGTTTACGGAATGGGAGCACAACCTTCCTCATTTAATTTTCATCCATCATCATTATTGTCTGGTGCTTCTACTTCTCAATCTTCAAAATAAATGGAAGCAATGCAAAGACAAATTTCAGAGCTTACAGAACGACTTCAATCATCTGAAGCTAACTTTGCTAAAGTGCAAAAATTTATGGAGAAACATATGGTTGAATCTGATGAAAGTGAAAGGACCAACTCTGATGAAGAGTAGACTATTTTATAGTTGTGTAGATATATTTTGTGAGATTTAGAAATGTTTTGAACATTTTACTTCCTTTTTGCATAATAACTTAATACTTATTAGACTTGATTTTGGTGATGCTTGAGCTGTTAGACTCAATTGAATTGAATAGAAAGCAATATGAATGTTTTGGAATGTATTTGATGTTTCATATTATTTTTGAGTTTTTTGTGGATGGATGGTAGTATTAATTTAGCAGGTGGTCTATCAAAAAATATATTATTTAATTGTTCAACTATTACGACTACTGTAGTCGGCATTGTTTATTTGTTAAATTATTATTTAATTATTACCGACCACAGTAGTCGACAGTTTATTTATTAAATTATTATTTTAATTATTACCGACTACAGTAGTCGACATTATTTATTTATTTAATTATTACCAACTACAGTAGTCGGCATTGTTTTAATCATTAAATTAATATTTTAATACTTTCCGACTACAGTAGTTGGTCATTTTGGACTTAATGGTCAGTTGTTGTTTTATATTTTTTAACTATCGTAGTCGAAAAACGCCGACTACAGTAGTCGGTAATAAATTTCTGAGGCTCAAGATACTGACTACTATAAAGTAGTCAGAAGGTCATCGACAAATCTCATTTTTCGACTACATTCCGACTAATTTTATAATCGGCAATCAACAAATTTCTAGTAGTGTGTCCTATTACCCCTAAACTTCATATTTCTCTATTTTCTACACTCTTAAACGTTGAACTTTCATGGGGGGGGGGGGGGGAATTTTTTTTTTTTTCCAAAAATTTTTTTCCCCTCCCTCCCTCCCCCCCCCCCCCCCCCCCGCGCAATCAAATAAATCATTGTTTCTTCTTTCCCACCATTAACCCCTGTTCCTTTTATTAAAAAATCACGATTTTCGGTAAAAAAAAATGTAGGGTGTCATTTATGTTCATTTCTACTTTTTTTTTTTGTTCATTTCTACTTCAAATCTTGAATTTAGGGTTTGTAATTTGCTCTAATTTCTTATTTAGGTCTCTAATTTTGAATTTTCTCGAAATTCATCGAAAATGGCAAATGAAAACTTGAATAAGCTTTGTGTGGACGAATCAAACCAAATTTTGCTCTTAATTTCACGAATCAATAAAAATCTAAGGGTTAGAACAAAAACTCAAAATAAGAGATAAGAACTAACATTTTACTAAACTAGTTGATAAACTATGAAAACAAGTTGTAAATACACAACAAATTCCTTCATTTATCTATAGAAATGCATATGCAAATGGAGAAGGAGATGAAAAAAGAAAAAAAATATTTTTTATGCCTTTTACGTTTTAGGGGGTAAATTGGAGAAAAACTAGAATTGGGAGTTGAAAAGTGGGGCTCGGCACGTGGAATCACGCTAGAATATTTGTTTGATTTATGTGTTGTGGTCAGCGTTTAAGTTTGTAGAAAATAGAGAAATATGAAATTCAGGGGTAATAGGACATCTGTGAAGTTGGAGTGTTTAGTTTGAATTTTGAGTATAAATTTGAGGGGCTTTAGACCATTTTCTCAGTTAGAAATAATAAAAGATTAAAAGAAAACGAAAGGAACTATTCGAGTTCACAGATCTCATTGTGTACTAAATTTAATCTCCTCAAGTATGCGAGGTTGTAGATTAATTCCTCTCTAGATAAAACAGATCAACCAATAAAGAAATAATGGTACCTTAATAATTTCAACGAACTCAAAAAGATGGTAACAATATCACACTCGATCAATCAATTTTGTTTATAAGAAATGTATGTAGAAGAAGGGAAGAATTTGTTGCAAAAAAATGAGAGTAACATTTCTAGCCAACAAAGGGTAGTATGAAAATTTGTTAATTGTGTCTTATCGGAAAGGTCACAACTCCTTGGGAAAGAGACAACCTTTCGGAAAGGTCACAATCATTTAGAAAAGACATAACCTTTCAAATGGTACAACCCTTTAGAAAATACACAATATTTCGTCTAGTAGGTCACAACTCTTTGTAAAATTGCAACTCTTGAGGAGAGTCACAACCTTTCACTTCTTATTCACACCTTTAAAACCTGAACTTATAATCATAGAATCGACTTATTGGATCATTATCTGACATGCTTGTTTACTTGGTATAGGTTCCTGTTGATATGGTTGTAAATGCAAAAATGGCTGCTATTGCAAAACATGGAAACTTGCAAAGTCCAGAGCTAAATGTGTATCATGTAGCATCATCATATGTGAATCCTTTATTATCATCAAAAAATTTGAACTATTGTTATGAGTTTTTCTCCTCTTTTCCATTTGTTAAAAGGAGAACAAGTGAAGGTTAATAAAATGAAATATTTTGATAACATGTTACATTTTTCAAATTATAATTTGGAGCAACTTCTCAAACAACATGATGAAGAACAAGATTTGATTGAAGTTGAGTATTCAAAAATACAAATACGTTTTACAAAGAAGGTGCAATATTTGGAGAATTTTAGCAAGATGTATGAACCATATTTATGTTGGGAAAACACGGACAAGCACAAAAGTATATATGGTAAATGTAATGAAAATAAAATGAGAAAATAACGACACCAAGAATTTTATATGGAAACCCTTCTGAATAAGGAAAAAACCACGGGCCAAGAGGAGCAACTGCTATTACTATAATAAGGAATTTTACCAATTGAATAGCTAAAGTTGACTAAAACAATGGGATGGATTCAACAAATCTCCCCCTCCAGTCTCATTTACTGGAAGAAGGTATCTTCAACTTCTTTAGAGAGAGCTCATACCCACAAGTTCTTTGCATAACTCGAACTTGTCTTTTGGTATCATCTTGGTCAGCATATCTGCAGGATTTTCACTTGTGTGAATCTTTTTGACGTGAAATGATTCATTCTCCACTTTCTCAAGAATCCAATGATATCTGACGTCAATGTGTTTTGTTCTTGCATGGTATATGGAGTTCTTGCTCAAGTCTATTGCACTCTGAATGTCACAATAGACAATATACTCCATCTGATTCAAACCAAGCTCTTAAAGAAATCGCTTTAGCCATATCATCTCCTTGCCGGCTTCAGTAGCCGCAATATACTCAGCTTCAGTTGTAGATAGTGCAACACACTTCTGCAACTTTGACTGCCATGATATAGCTCCCCCTGAAAAAGTAAACAAATATCCAGTAGTGGATTTTCTGTTATCAAGGTCACCTTCCATATCAGAATCTGTAAAGCCTTTCAAGATTGGATTTGATGCTCCAAAACACAAGCATTCATCTGAGTTTCCTCTAAGATACCTGAGTATCCATTTCACAGCTTCCCAATGCTCTTTTCCTGGATTTTCGAGAAATCTACTGACAACACCAACTGCGTGAGTAATATCAGGTCTAGTGCACACCATTGCATACATTAGACTTCCGACGACGGAGGAATATGGAACTTTGGCCATGTTCTCTTTTTCCGGACACATCTTCTTGCTCAACTTCATATGACCAGCAAGAGGTATACTAACAAGCTTAGCATTCTTCATATTGAAGCGCTCCAGTACGCGTTCAATGTACTTCTTCTGGGACAAATAAATCTTCTTTTTATCTCTAAGACGAGTAATTCTCATGCCCAAAATTTGCTTGGCATGATCCAAGTCTTTCATAGAAAAAGACATACACAACTCTTTCTTTAGCTCGTCAATCTTGGAAGTATTTTTGCCCACAATCAACATATCATCCACATACAACAAAAGGATGATAAAATCATTGTCAGAATTTTTTTTACAAATACGCAATGATCTGAAGAAGTCTTCTTATAGTCTTGCTCCCCCATAACATATTCAAACTTTTTGTACCACTGTCTAGGAGCTTGTTTTAGGCCATAGAGACTCTTTTTGAGTTTGCATACAAAATTTTCTTTACCATCTACTTTGAAGCCCTCTGGTTGTTCCATATAAATCTCTTGTTCTAATTTTGACCTCTCATCTATCGGCACATGTACAAAAGCTTTGCAACCAAATACTCTCAAATGGTCATAGGAAACATCCTTTCCATACCAAACACTATTTGGTACATCACTTTGCAAAGCAACAGCAGGAGATAGATTAATAACATGTGCAGCGGTCAATAAAGCCTCACCCCAAAATGAGTTTGGCAACTTTGCTTCAGAAAGCAAACATCTAACTCTTTCCATCAAGAACCTGTTCATCCTCTCAGCCAAAACATTAAGCTGAGGAGTCTTGGGAGGAGTCTTTTGGTGTCTAATACCTTGATGGTTGCAGTATTCGTCAAATGGTCCACAATATTCACCACCATTATCAGTACGAATACATTTCAATTTCTTTCCAGTTTCTCTTTCAACTGAAGCCTGAAACTGCTTAAACACACCAAACACTTGGTCTTTAGTCTTCAAGACATAGACCCAAAGTTTTCTCGAGCAATCATCAATGAAAGTGACAAAGTGTGGTGCATGACAAAGTAAAGTTTACCACTCAATGTCTTTGTCTTCATTGGACCACATAAATTAGAGTGCACTAACTCAAGCAACTCTGTCTTTCTCGAAGGAGGGTAGGACTTAAAGGAAACTCTATTTTGTTTACCAGCCAACCAGTGCTCACATTTTTCTAATTTAGCACTTTGGAAATTTGACATTAATTTCTTCTTGGCTAGAACATTAAGTCCTTTCTCGCTAATGTGGCTAAGCCTCTTGTGCCATAATGTTGAAGAGCTATCACTCTCAACCGCATTCACCATATCAACACAAGCAGAGGCCGTAGTCCAGTATAGACCACGACGTTTGTTACCACGAGCCACAACCAAGGAACCCTTAATGAACTTCCATTTTCCATCACCATTGGTACTAACATATCCTTCATCATCTAAAACACCAACAGAAATTAGGTGCAGACGAACATCAGGAGCATGTTTCACATTGTTCAAAACTAGTTTAGTTCCAACACTAGTTTAGTTCCAACACTAGTTTCCAAACAAATTGTACCAATACCAACCACCCTAGAAACGGTCTCATTACCCATACTCAAGGTTCCAAAATCACCAGGAGTGTAGGAAGAGAAAAAATCCTTCCTTGATGTCACATGAGATGCGGCACCAGTGTCCACAACCCAATTTGACTCATCACAAGCAATATTTATCATGTTTGTATCAAGAATGGTAACAAGATCTTCGGTGGTGATGGTGGCTAGGCAGTTTTCATTGCCATC